TATAAAAACAAAAAACAAAAATTATGTTAAGCCCAATTATGCACTCCAAAATTAAGAAGAGAGACCCAGTTATTCATTAAATTCATAGTCCGAGCCAATTCACCTAGTTGAATAGGAAAAAAAAAACACATTGAGTCCAATTTCACATGTTTGAACTCTAAAGTTGGCCAAAAAAAAAAAAAAAACTATGAAAAGAAACTTCCTAATGCCAAACACTTTTTTGCTTTACCAGTTCTTTCTCAATGATTCAATGAGGGCCGAAGTCCAAATTGTTTAATAAACATGGTGATTGATGATTTCTTTTCTTTCATGTTTTGTTTTTTGGGATTTGGGTCTAGAATTTCATGTTTTGTTCAATTATTGAATTAAAAGTCAAACCTATATCTCATCTCGTCTTCTTGTTTAGTTATTTAGGTAAGTGGTCCTTGTAGCCTGTAGGGGCACACCGGATTAACTACAAGTTTATTCATTTGTCCAGCTAATCTCATGCCTATATGTACGAGGACATCAGGTCCACTTGGAGAAATTTCGAGCATATACTAGGGAAGGAGACTTTTAATGCCTCAAATCAAATTCACAAACAAGGAAAAGCGAAATTATTGCATTAACATTTTTTTTTTTTTTTTTTTTTAAAATTGTTATAGGATGGAAAGATGGGTGTGGCTGGTCTTGGTGGTTGGTGTGGTGTGGGTGGCTGCTGGTATTTCAAGTTTTTTATTTTATTCTTTGATTTTCTTTTTTTATTACATTGAGAGAAAAGAAACTCTGGGGTTTCGATCCTGGATGCCAAGCAGGGAGGAAGGGGGAAGGCCACAACTAATGTGATAACCCTGCTTGACAATTTTATTGATGATTTGTTTAGCTTACTTTAGTATTTTTAATTTGAATTTCGTATAATAAATTGATAAAATTATAAAATTGGCTGAATTGACGACTTGACTTCTAACGAAAAATTAGACGATGTTGATGTTGGGAACGATATTGATGTGTAGAGCAATATAATGAGAATGCAAATTGAAATAAGGAGTTCAGAAGAGTAAGTGAATTATTTGTGATAGAAAGCCAAAAAGGAAAGTCCAATTAATAAATGAGAATGGGGATAGATAAGAGACTTTCAAATTTATGTGCATAATGTGCAGGTAGATCGTTAGTAATCATATTTTCTTTAGATCTGTTACGGATGTGGTGGTGGGTGTAGCTGCGACGTCGCTTCTTCAGGTGGTGGTGGGGTTCGTTTAGACTCATAGGTTTTTTTTTGGGGGTTGAGAAAAGATGGTATTTCATTCAACCGAAAGAAACATTACATTGTATGAATTAGCATGTTAACAGTGGTCTCGTTAAAACCTTCTCAGAGAAACAAAATATTGAGGACCCCCAAGCTATTGACTAAACAGAAGAGTCAAACAACTTATACGAAACAAACCAACCTAAACCCCAACCACAAAACCCTTAAAACAACATCCCATCACTACATAGGTACTGTCAAAGAAGACTCATATGTTGTTTTAGGGTTTTTGTTATGTTGGGTTTGTGAGTTTTATTTGGGCTTATGGTTAATTGTGGTGATGTGGGCTAGTAGTTTTAGTGCAGCTTTTGTTCTCGTTAGTTTTGCTCTTAGCATGTTAGTTTGTTGACCTCTTGAGATTGGCACTTTAGATGTCTTGTTGATATCTTTGATTGTACCATTGAAATTTATCTAATAAAGTTTCTCTTTCATAAAAAAATAAAAATAAAATCCATGTGCATAATGAGATTGTTGCCAAACCATCCAGAAATTTGACATAGTAGGTGTAGCTTGTTGTGGCCTAGTGGTGTGCATGCCTACATGTACATGAACAACAAGCAAGGATACCCTTTTTTTTTTTTTTTTGGTTCTGAAAATATTTCAATAAAAGGCTCAAAAACGGCCAGCAAAACAATAAGATAGAAAAACAAACAAGATGCAAGCAAACTAGGATCTAAGCAATTCAATTTAATTTTTGAGATTAAAAATAGGGAGTTTCACTAAAACACCCAAAATGGGAGTTGAAATTATAAAAAAACCCAAGCACTATTTAAACATATAAACACACTCAAAACCCATCATTACACACACTCAAAATCCATTTATAAACATACCCAAAAAGTTGACTTTGGGGTTGATTTTGGGTGTGTTTCTATGTTTAAATAGTGCTTGGATTTTTTTATAAATACCTGTCTAGGATTGGGTTTATTTATAAATTTGTATTAAAAATATAGCATTGGATATAAATAAATATTAAAATTATAATTTTTATAATTTGGCTAGTCCGATTCAGTCCAATTCAATTTGTTAGGGTATAGAACCGAAACGGGAGCCAATTAGAACCGGTTCGGTTTGGTTTTTTGAATTGAGTTTTATTTTTTTGTCAACATGGTTTTTTTTCTATTTTTTTCAATCCAATTTAATTCGGTTGATCAATTCTTCGGTTTCGATGCCTACCCCTACATGTAACTTTCTCTTTCAATAACATAATTCAGTTGGTACACCTTAGATATTTGAAGTTTGCCATGTGTCCATCCCACAAATTTATATATAGATTATGACAGCAAATATCATCTGAATCTATGTACCCCAAAATTGTGACTACAATTGTAAATTTTCTTTATTTGTATATACCTCAGGACTGTGACTATAACTGCATGCATTATGAACCTCCAAAACCTCCTAATTTTTGCAATTTTGACATGTGCATGAGTTCTCTTTTTTGGTGTTTGTGAATTTGTGACATAAGGCAGCTGCGATTGGAGCTACAGAGGTGCAACTGGATTGTTGGGCTGTAAGGCCACCACCGTCTCTTTTGATTTCCGACGGCCTTTCCTGTCCTCCCGTGAAAAACAAACAAACAAGATGCAAGATACAAACAAAATACCAATCATTTTTGTATTTAAAATAAAAAAGTATTGAGTATAATTTTTAATCTCTAGGATCTCATATTTATACCCACACATGGCCAACGAGGATTTAGTCCAGACCATTGATTTGAAGATTGAACTTTCATAACACTTTAGTATTGTATGTGAGAAACCTCAATTCACTTGAAGTTTTTAATTTGCAAATTTGAACTCCCATCTTGATAATATGTGTACGAGAAATCCACCCTGTAGTGCTTGTATTAAAAAAGATATCCACATATAATCTTTAATATATTTTGATACTTTAGAGCACCCGAAGCAAAGTCACCGACCAACCTCCTCGTGGACTTCTTATTATACTCTAGTTTTCATATTATATATTGCATGCATGGAATAGTGTATTCATGAGGTATTTTATTTGCTCCGAGTCTCTTAATAAAAAATAAATAAAAACACCAACAATGAAGTTATGTGGACAACTCCGGTTGATAATAAAGAAAAATTGGTATAGGTTTTGGCGTAATTGCAATTTGATCAATGTATTCAGCTTTGTATATAATACATAACATGTGAAATTGTCTCCCGAACAAACAATAAGAACAACGTATGACATAATTCAAAATGCCACTTTGGTAACTTTCACCACAATTTTAGTGCAAAATTAAACAAACTACTTTGTTTTGACTTTGTTATTTAAGGTGAGACCCTTGGTTTCTCTCTAGAAGCTTAATAAGAACCATAACATGCAAGTTACATGACCACCTCAAATTATTAGTCATCTTACAATAAAATAATTCACTAACCTTAGGCCTTGTTTGGTTCACAAAATGGATTTGAGGAGAAATTACTTCCCTATGTCATTTCTTAAGGGATCAGAAATTGAAGATTGCTTTTCCATGTTTGGTAATGCTGAGAGTAACTGGGAGATATCACTTTATTTCCTTTCTCATGTTTGTTTTGAGTAGGAATGGAAAACAAAGTTGTTATAATTTTTCAATTATATCCCATATTAAATTAAATAAAAAAAATGCATTTAATGATATATTGTAATTCTAAATTATAAATAAGGACAAAATGGTCATGAAAAATGAGCATTTAATGTTGGCTCATTTTCCCGAACTTTCCCATGAAGAGGGAAAACAAAGCTCAAGGGAGGAGAAGCCTACTTGCCCATGTGTCAAGCAATCATTTTCCATATCTAGACTTACCATCCCATCCCCAAACCTCCTTTCATATAAACCAAACAGGGTCTTATAGTACCGGTCACACTTAATTAATTACTACAAGAAGTTGATATTCCATCCTACATACTGATGGAGTTTCAAGTATTTAAAAAAGACTTATTAAGGTCCACCATTAAGTTTTGAAACCTATTATTACATGGTTTTAATTGATAATAAAATTCTTGATGCGATCATCGGGTTGTTGTGCTATTTACAATGAATATTAAACTAGTAACATCATATTGATAAGATATTGTTAATAGCTTGCATCTTTGTTGGAAGTCTTTCTTTTTATTTTTTTAAATCTCTTTCTTAGAAGACCAAAGAAGATTAAAGAAAGAAATGAACTCCAAAGTATATATTCATTTCCCCGCCAATTTTGGAACATGAAAGACTTAACATGGTACACTTCCCTCTCTCTCTCTCTACACGCATTATACACATGATATATTTATATATATATCACAGTGTCTTTCTTCTACCTTATTTGAACAGAGGAAGCTAGTCTGACAAGAACCCTTAAATATTTCAAGTCTCTGACAGCCTTGAATTTCAAAGGTTCATATTTGATTAAAATCTGCCCCCCAAAAAAAAAAAAAAAAAAACTGGCATTTTGTGGGTGCTAAGTGGACTATATTTGTAGAATGAATCTCTGCAATGTCAGAGAATGATTTGCTGCAATTTGTGGATTTGAAGCAATCTTTGGATTTTATTTTCTTTTCTTGTGTATTATTTCTAAACTCTTCCTGTAATCATAGATGTTTTATACTGCAAATTGTGTTAGTTTGGTTCCCTTGGTTAAAGTAGTTTGTGAAAGAAATTAATCTGTGTTTAATTTGGTGGGTTTGGGTTGCTTTTGCTATTACAACAACAATATTCTTCATTTTCAGGTTGAAAATTGAAATGGAGAGTGGTGATCATTATAGAGCCGGCAATAGTCTCCAATTAGGCAGTTCTTTGAGATGGAGGAACAATGGTGTGGAAGCTTTCTCAAGGTCTCTGTGTGACGAAGACGAAGAAGAAGCTCTTAAATGGGCAGCACTTGAGAAGCTTCCTACTTATAATCGTATGAAGAAAGGCATACTCATTATGCCCGCTGGCGAAGCAAGTGAAATTGACATACCAAATCTTGGTTTTCAAGAAAGAAAAGAATTGATTGGGAGGTTTCTGAAAGGTTCTGAAGAGGACAATGAGAGGTTCTTGTTGAAGATCAAAAACCGTATCGATAGGTAATAAGTTCCTCCTTATCTGATATTTTACTGTGTCATGCCAATCTATGAAAACCTGTTCTCTACTGTTCTTATTTATTCAGTTAGTTATAAAGAGAAGCATCCTATGTAGGTTCAGATTCCAGTTAAGTCCAACCTCCTAAAATCCTAATTTAGGACACATGAACAACGCATATTGCTGCATCATTTAACATGTGGATGATGCGGACCTTGTACTATGAAAGTTTTGAGCATCCTATCCAAAACCAATTGACAACTGATGGAGAAGCTCATGATCTTATAAACATGAATGTAGGACTTACATTTCTCGGTTTGGGATAGTACTTTGAACAACTTGACTTCAGTATTCGAGCCTAGCTAGTTTCAACTTGGCTCTCCAGGCAGGCTTCACCTCAAGCTTAATTTTATTGGAGTTTCAAATATTTAATTTGCTTCATTCAAGTCTACTTTTCAACTTTAAATCTTGCATTAATTTACAAGGGAGGAGTATGCTTCTGGTATTTGGGCTTTGATAGCAGGTCTGGCCTCTTTACTTTCCACCTGAGGGTGTTGAAGAAAATAATTCTAAGTTTGTTAGATACCGCCCTTTATATGAACGAATATACTTAAATTCTGTATGTACATAATATCTTAAGTTTTTGGATTCATTCTCTTGGTAGCCCAGTAGGGGAAGTATAAAAATTTGAATGTTTCAATGGAACTCCTTTGATGGACTATTGGTGTTTCCTGAATACTTTTCAGAGTAGGAATTGATCTTCCAACAATTGAAGTTCGATTTGAGAATCTAAATGTAGAAGCAGAAGCTTATGTAGGAAGCAGAGCTTTGCCTACACTCCTTAACTTCATCGTTAACATACTCGAGGTAACGTTGCAGCAGAAGATAATAATTGAAGCAGAGATCTGCATGCTGATTTTGATTTATTAACCTTTCAGTGATCTCACAGTTTAATCACTTTTTCCATTGATCTTAAAGGGCTTCTTGAATGGTCTCCATATTCTTTCAAGTAGAAAGACGCATTTGTCTATCCTCCACAATGTTAGCGGAATCATAAAGCCTAGCAGGTGAGAAAAAGGACTAGTTTGCCTTCTTTTACTGCCTCACTTTCAAAGAAAAGGAAAAAGATATTTCGGTACCCAGTTATCATTTGTTGTGCATGCATTTTTCAGAATGACATTGCTATTGGGTCCTCCAAGTTCTGGCAAGACCACACTCTTACAGGCTTTAGCTGGAAAGCTCGATCTAGATCTAAAGGTGCAAAGGATTCTCAAACAGCTTTAAAGTTTTTGTATAATCGCTTTTCAGAAAAAGATATCAGTAAAATCTGAATGCTCTCATAACTAATTTGAAGACCAAATGTTACGCCTCAGCTTTCTGGAAGGGTGACTTATAATGGCCATGAAATGAATGAATTTCTACCCCAAAAAACTGCTGCCTACATCAGTCAACATGATCTACACATTGGAGAAATGACTGTAAGGGAAACCTTGGCCTTTTCTGCAAGATGCCAGGGGGTTGGGACGCGCTATGGTTAGTTCATTCATGGAACTGCTTTTCTTTTCCTTCCACATTGGTTTTTAGGGTACACTCTATAATAAGATTTATATATATGTAAAGCACTGACTCATTTTCATTTTGGCCATCTGCAGATATGCTTGCAGAGCTGTCCAGAAGAGAGAAAGCTGCTAATATCAAGCCTGATCCAGACATTGATGTCTTCATGAAGGTGAGAAAAAAACTACTTTCTATTGTTGATCACAAAAACTTACACACACAATCTATACCTTTGAGGATTCATGAGATTTTGTTTTTCCTGTACTTTCCCTTCTGGTGGAAATCATACCATGGAATTTTTAAAGTAACTGAAAGTTCCAAAACTGGAAATTGGTAATAATAGCTGGTATTTTTGCCTGCTTCGTATGATTCGAAATGGATTTGAAATTTCTATATACAAGGAATCATTTGAACTTTATTAGTTTTCTTCCATTTCTTTGTATTCAAATCTTGACATATTTGGATTGTGTAGTCTAAACAAACAATTAAACCTTATAATGTTATCTGAGTCCCAAGATTCGGAACTAGTCCATCCAAATCGGCCGTAAGTCAATTCTTTCATGGTGTGACAATTCATGTGTTTCTAATACAATTGGTTTCTGCCATTGTAGGCAATAGCCACAGAAGGACAGGAGGTGAATGTAGTGACAGATTACATTCTAAAGGTAAACAATACCGAGAAGCTACCTTTGATCTTATAAGAGTCCTTTCAGAAATCACTACACAATTTTTTCAAAATCAATTATAAGCAAGTCATTTTTATTAATAGATTCTGGGACTGGAAGTCTGTGCTGATACCAAAGTAGGGAATGACATGTTAAGAGGTATCTCAGGAGGACAAAGAAAACGTGTTACAACGGGTAAAGAAATTCAATCAATAGTTTATTGAAGATCACAAATTGTTCTAATCTGCATACACGATTATAGGCTTTACTTAAAAAATTTATTTACAGGGGAGATGCTTGTTGGACCTGCAAAGGTACTGTTCATGGATGAGATATCTACTGGTTTGGACAGCTCGACAACATTTCAAATTGTGAATTCAATCAAGCAATACATTCACATTCTTAATGGAACGGCTGTCATCACACTCCTCCAGCCAGCACCAGAGACTTATGAGCTTTTTGATGATATTATCCTCCTCTCGGATGGCCAGATTGTGTACGAGGGTCCTCTTGAACATGTGCTTGAGTTTTTTGAATCTATGGGCTTTAAATGTCCTGAGAGGAAAGGCATTGCTGACTTCCTACAAGAGGTAGCTAGCTGTACTAAATGATGCACATTACATGTGGAATCTCATATCTTCTATTGCATGCTTAATGAAATTTGTTTTAGGTGACATCAAGTAAAGATCAGGAACAGTATTGGGCATGCAAAGATGAACCATATAGTTTCGTTACAGTCAAGGAATTTTCTGAAGCATTCCAATCATTCCATGTGGGACAGAAACTTAGAGATGAACTGTCAATTCCATTTGACAAGAGAAAAAACCACCCAGCAGCTTTGACAACCAAAGAATATGGTCTTAAAATGGGAGAACTGGTGAAAGTTTGCTTCTCAAGAGAATATTTGCTAATAAAGAGGAATTCCTTTGTCTACATCTTCAAGCTGGCACAAGTAGATTTTAATAATATACATTTTAGTTCTGGATTTATATTTTGGGAAGTATCTATTTCTTAGTTTGTTTCTTTTTCCTGCTTCTAGCTGACACTTATGGCTCTGATTACGATGACACTCTTCCTACGAACTGAGATGCCCCGTGGTTCAGTAGATGATGGAGGAGTTTATATGGGTGCTTTGTTCTCCATAGTGGTCAGGATTATGTTTAATGGGATGCCAGAGCTTGCAATGACCATTCTCAAGCTTCCCATCTTTTACAAGCAAAGGGACCTCTTCTTCTATCCTGCATGGGCGTATGCTCTTCCAACATGGATTCTCAAGATCCCTATGACATTTGTAGAAATAGCAGTTTGGGTGTTTATTACATATTATGTGATTGGATTCGACCCTAATATTGAACGGTAAACAAGTAAATATTAATATATAATAACTAACTTGTTTGCTATGCATACCAATCTTTGATGCATGGTCTTGCATATGCTGCAGGTTTCTTAGGCAATATCTACTGCTGCTACTTGTTAACCAGATGGCTTCTGCGTTATTCCGTTTAATTGCAGCAATGTGTAGGAATTTGATTGTTGCGAACACGGTGGGGTCATTCTCGTTGCTCACACTTTCTACGTTGGGAGGCTTCGTGCTTTCTAGAGGTACAAACAACATAATAACATAACATATGGGAAAACAACATTCTTCTGATAACTTCATTGCTTAATTATATGATGCTCTTTTGTTCCTTAATGTGACAGATGATGTTAAAAAGTGGTGGGTTTGGGGTTACTGGATTTCGCCTATGATGTACGCTCAAAATGCAATAGCAGTTAATGAGTTACTTGGTGAAAGTTGGAGACATGTAATTTTTTTGAAAATCATATTGTTCTTTGTTCCTTCAAGATCTTATCTATAATTAGTGTTTCTTCATACTCATCTGATGTCTGTCTCAATTTCCTTTTTATAAAAGGTACTTCCAAACTCAACAGTATCTCTGGGAATTGAAGTTTTAAAGTCCCGCGGGTTCTTTCCTCATGCATGCTGGTATTGGATAGGTGTTGGGGCAATGACTGGATTTGTATTACTATTCAATATTTGTTACATTGTAGCTCTCTCCAAGCTAAATCGTATGTATCTGTACGTTGTCCACTTCAATTTTTTATGAATTAGGAAGATTATCTTTTAATGTGTCAAATAAATCATTATATATGCAGCACTTGCGAAACCTCAGGTTGTAAAATTAGAAGATCAAAGCAATGAACATGATGGCAGAATAGAGAGAACTAGTCAATTACCGCGCAGTCAAAATAGCTCAAGTCAACGAACCAAGACAGGTGTTAAATCTCATCCATAATGAGCACCTCCCAAGGTTTTGTGTGTATTTTTGTATTTTTTATGGTGCTATTCTTAGATGACATTTAAATTTTAATTGGAATGCAGACAGTAAAGATGAAAGTGCAAAAGAAATTGCAGTTGAGTCTGTTCGTAACGGGAGGAGAGGGATGGTTCTTCCATTTGAACAACATTCCATCACATTCAATGAAATTACATACTCAGTTGACATGCCACAGGTTTTGATTTTTGAAATCAACTGCACTCTTTTAATTTGTTTTGTTAAGTTAACTTAAAAACATTTTATCCAACGGAGTTTGAACATACAGGAAATGAAGATCCAAGGTGTCCTAGAGGACAAATTAATGCTTCTGAAGGGTGTGAGTGGTGCTTTCAGGCCAGGTGTTTTGACAGCTCTGATGGGAGTGAGTGGTGCTGGTAAAACCACTCTCATGGATGTACTGGCGGGTAGGAAAACTGGTGGATATATTGAAGGGGACATCAAAATTTCGGGCTACCCCAAGAAGCAAGAAACCTTTGCCCGGATTTCTGGATACTGTGAGCAAAATGACATCCACTCCCCTCATGTTACTGTCTATGAGTCATTGCTTTACTCAGCATGGCTTCGTTTGCCACCTGAAGTCGAGTCTGAAACCAGAAAGGTTAGAATGATAATATCTAAAACCAGAATCTGTTTCAGGGTTGATGTTTAGTGAACAACACAAATTAAGTCAAAGTTTAGCTTATTCATCTTTTCTAATATTAATGAACTTGAGGATATATTCTTATGGCTTAGCTTTTGCTCAGGTAATAATTAAGACTTCTAGACAATTATATAAATTATTAGGGAACATCAAAGACTTCTGGTATTCAAAGACTTTGTTCATAATTGCTAAACTAAACTACATTGAATAATCTTATACACACTGTATGTAATGATCAGTGAAGGTTTAATCATGTAATAAACCAAACCAAGAAATATTAAAAAAAAAATACAGAAAAAAAAGGAGAGGAAAGAGAATTAGGCTTTGATAAACAGTCTAGCTATAATCTGAACAATTTTTCTTAATTTGGTAAACAATCTAGTTATAATCCATTTGTCTCTAGTAATAAACTACCAATGAAGCTGTAAAAAAGTAACTTGACATACCTGGAAAGAGAGAATCAATGTTCTTATTTTGTTTTTCCTCTTAATTATTGATATACAAGTCAATCAGAGAGAGCTTAAAAGACAAACTTGAACCTAGAAAGACTACAGATATATAAGTGAAAAACCACTCTTACTTTTTCTTGTCAAATCCTTGCTTTTTAATTCAAACGACTGTTAGTTGCTTTTTTATAAAAAAAAAATAATGAAGATGTGCTTTACATACTTTTGGTCTGGAGAAAAAAAAATACTATTGAACATGCTCAATAGAAAGAAGCCTATCATAGAGATTATATGACAGGGGCCCCATATGAAGAAGTTTGACTTGATCACTTCAAGGGGCTTGCATATTTTTTGGCTATCATGATGTTGATTTGTAATTATGAAGTTCTTTTGCAGATGTTCATTGAGGAAGTGATGGAACTTGTGGAACTGACACGGTTGAGGCAAGCGCTTGTTGGGTTGCCTGGTGTGAGTGGTCTCTCAACTGAGCAGCGCAAGAGGCTAACCATTGGAGTTGAGCTAGTAGCAAACCCCTCGATAATATTCATGGATGAGCCAACTTCAGGGTTAGATGCAAGAGCTGCTGCAATCGTCATGAGAACAGTTAGGAACACCGTGGATACTGGAAGAACAGTTGTTTGCACCATCCACCAGCCCAGCATTGACATATTTGAAGCTTTTGATGAGGTGAGAAATTTTAATGGGTGGAAGACTAGCTGTTTCTTTAGGTTCTCTCTTCTCATATATTTGAGATTGATGAATGTGAGTGTGAATGCAGCTACTCCTACTGAAGCGCGGAGGAGAAGAAATATTTGTTGGGCCATTGGGTCACCATTCTTGCCATCTAATCAAGTATTTTGAGGTAGGGTGTGTCACGGATCACAGAGACATCCAACACTGAATACTTTAAATTCTTCCTTCCCTCCTATGTCATGGTTGCTGTATATTAACATGACTTTCTTTAATCAAGGGAATTGAAGGAGTAAGTAAAATAAAAGATGGTTATAACCCAGCAACTTGGATGTTGGAACTTACAACCTCAGCAGAAGAACTAGCTTTGGGGATTGATTTTGCCCAAGTTTACAAAAATTCAAAACTATTCAGGTCTGTTAGTTGATGTCACTGGTACATTGCAAACACAGTTCACTGCCTTTTCGATAGCAAAATGCTGAAACCTCCTTAACATGTTTATGTATCATAAATTAGTTGCTGAAACTTTTGCTTGGCATAATATGTTTCAGGACAAACAAGAAACTTGTTAAAGACTTTAGCAAACCTGCACCTTCTTCAAAGGACCTCCATTTTCCCACTCAATATTCGCAATCATTTCTCACCCAATCCATGGTTTGCTTATGGAAACAACATTGGTCCTATTGGCGCAACCCGTTATACACTGCAGTAAGACTTCTCTTTACAACTTTCATGGCGTTGCTGTTGGGGACAATGTTCTGGAACCTCGGCTCCCAAATGTAAGTTGGTACAAGGAAACAAAGAAATTAGTTTGGGGAAATCATTAGATTATATTGTTTTTGTGTTTTCTCATTTTTCGTGTATTCAAATTCACTGTGTCTTATGAGATGCAGGAAAAGGCAACAAGATCTGTTCAATGCAATGGGCTCCATGTACATTGCTGTTTTCTTCCTTGGGGTCCAAAATGCTACATCAGTGCAGCCTGTAGTTGCTATTGAAAGAACAGTCTTCTACAGAGAAAAGGCTGCAGGGATGTATTCAGCCTTGGCATATGCATTGGCACAGGTGAAATGGATCTTATATTGTCAATTTTTCAATCACCAAATTTGGTTCTCTATATATGATAATTCAACTTCTATCTTGTCACAGGTTTTGATTGAGCTCCCATATATTTTAGTACAAACTGTGGTCTATGGAGTCATAATTTATAAGATGATCGGGTTTGAGTTGACTCTTGTCAAATTCTTTTGGTATCTATTCTTTATGTACTTCACATTGTTGTACTTCACATTTTCTGGTATGATGATTGTGGCTGTGTCACCAAATCATCACATTGCTTCTATTGTGACCTATGCATCTTATGGACTGTGGAACCTCTTTTCAGGATTCATTGTCCCACGACCGGTAAGTGTTGCTTAATTGTCATGTATTCGAATAAGTTTTCAGCATATTTTTACCAAATTACTACAATTGTTCCTTTTGTCTTTTTCATTTTCCTACCGGCCAACAACAGAGGATTCCTATATGGTGGAGATGGTACTACTGGGCATGTCCTGTGGCTTGGACCTTGTATGGGTTGGTTGCTTCTCAGTTTGGAGACTTAAATGATACGATCGACAATGGACAGACAGTCAAACAATTTTTGGGTGATTACTTTGGTTTCAGACATGATTTTGTGGGAGTAGTTGCAGCAGGGCATGTAGGGTTTACAGTGCTCTTTGGATTCATCTTTTCCGTTTCGGTTATGGCGTTTAATTTCCAAACACGATAGATATTATTTTTCCTACTTGTATAGGAAAGTTTTAGAAACGCATCAAGTTGTAGTCCTTTACCAATTACATGTTCCATAAAACTGCTGAATATTGTCCATGCTAGTTGGAGGGAATGATTTTCCCCACGAGAATATTCGTCAAAGATTCCTTCGTCTTCTCCGCTTCTCTTTCTCCCTGCAAAACAAATCGGAGTAAAAGGACCACACCCGGGGGGTGTTGGCCAAAGGCCCTCCGATGCCTAAGTTAGGTAAGGTATTTCAAGGAAAACCGGGTGGCCGGAGCCGTGTGTGGTGGCCGGAGCCTTGTGTAAGGGAGAGAAAGAAAGTGGTGGCTAGGGTTTGTGAGAAATGATTTCTGCAGAGTTTCAGTAGGAATTTAGACGTACCTTCACCATTGTGTGTGGCTATGCTTTTATAATGGTCTCGGAGGCTAGGGTTTCAGAGGAATAATTCCGTAGATGGAAGGGAATTATTCCTCCCCTTTATGGAATTGATTTGATCAATTAGGGATTTGATTTATTAGGGTAAATCAAACCCCTAATTGTGGTAGGTATCAAATCAAATCCTATTTCAATTAGGTAACTCCTCATTTAATTGAGAATCGGGGTAGGAATTAGGAATCAATTCCCAACCCAATTAGGTAGTCTTCAATTTAATT